GATGGGGAACACGGTCCCTTAGGATGGGGAACACGGTTCCTTATGATGGGGAACATGGTCCCTTAGGATGGGAACACGGTCCCTTAGGATGGGAACATGGTCCCTTAGGATGGGGAACACGGTCCCTTAGGATAGGGAACACAGTCCCTTATGATGGGGGAGGCATGATAGCACATGTTTTTTTGATAGCAGGAACATTCAGATGGGACTCCATCTCTTCACATCTTATGGGGACACAAAACAGACAGACAACATGGGGAGGCTGTAAACCTCAAGGCCCAGCCCAGGCCCCACTTCGTTTAGCAAGGCTTCACCTCCTCAAGGTTCCACAACTTCCCAAAGCATCAGCAACAGCTGGGACCAAGTGTTCAAACACATGATCCTATGGGGGACAGTTATTTCATGTTCAAACACAACATATTTTATACCAAACAACGGTCTAAGGGACCATGGACCAATAGTCATAGGTCTATAGTTAACAATAATACAATAGACATTCCAAAATGGGAGGAAGAGAGCTTTTCAGAAGTTCTCACAGTCGCTGTCTTCTGGACATGACATGGCCATTGTACTCATGAGTTCATGTGGCTGCGGAGACCTGCACAAGACCTGCAAAAGAGCAAGCCAACAAGATCAGTCAACATTCCATCAGACAGAACCTAAGGGACTCAGTGCATTTGAAAAGGGGGGAAGACATAAGAGGGACATGTCAGGGTGCCTAGGGGAACTGGTAGAGGAGAGTTGGAGTAGATATGATCAAGATACATTGTCTACATGTACAAAATTGCCAAAGAATAAATAAAAGATATTCTATTTTCAAAAGTTCTCACACAGAAATGAATACTCAAGAGAATGGATCTTCTAGCTACTGTGGTACCCTGCTCTGCATTACACAGTGTATCCAATTTCAAAACATCATCCCAGACATGACATGTGAACAATTTACTGTGTTGAGTATAAAACATTTAAAAACAGATCATAGATGTAAATATAAAAGCTAAGCTCATAAGTCATTTAGAAGAAACAAAAATTTCTCAGCTATAAGACAAAGGCATGCCATATGAGGAAAAGAGGTTTGTAAACTATATTCCACCAAAATGAAAATTCCTAGGCTAGGGAGATGGCTAAGTGGATAGTGTTTGCCATGAAAGAATAAGGATCCAAGTTTGAATCCCCAGAACCCATGTAAAAACAGCTTGTGGTAATGCACATCTGTGACCCCAACACCCCTGCAATGAGACTGGAGGAAGAATTAGGAGAATACCCAGAAGCTCGTGGGCCAGCTAGCCTGGTGTATGAAGTTGTCAACAGTAAAAAGTTCCAACAGTAAAAAGTGGGAGGTGAAGGCTGATGATACCCAGGGTTGTCCTTTGACTTCCAAACATACCATTGGCACACATGTGTTTCAGTGCAGGCTTATACACACAGAGATTACACAGAAACAGACAGACGGACAGAGACAGAAAGATCACACACATATGGGGGTGTTAGGGGAGAAAATAAAAAGAAAATGAAAGTTCTTACTGGACATGATGGCACACAGCCGTAATCTTAACACTTGGGAGGCAGAAGCAGGAGGGTTTCAATATTCAAGGCTAGCCTGGGCTATATATAATGAGAGCCTGTCCCAGAAAATAAATAAATAATGATAAATGAATGAATAATAAATAAATGATTTAAAAATTAAATTGAAAACCTTTTGCTCTTCAGGAAACGCTAAGACTTGGAGTCCTGAAAAATAAAATAAAATAAATAAAAACAGTGAGTGAGGCTGGCGTCTTAGTCAGAGTTTCTATTGCTGTGAAGAGACACCATGGCCACAGCAAATCTCATAAGAAAAACATTTAACTGGGGTGGTTCTCTTACAAGTTCAGAGGTTTAGTCCCTTATCATCATGGCGGGGAAACATGGTGGCGTGCAGGCAGACACGGTGCTGGCTACATCTTGATATGAAGGCAACAGGAAGTGGACTGAGTGTCACACTGAGGGAAGCTTGAGCCAAAGAGACCTCAGAGCCCGCCCCCACAGTGACACACTTCCTCCAACTAGGCCACGCCTCCTAACAGTGCCACTCCCTTTGGGGGCCATTTTCTTCCACACCACCGGAGCTGAGAAGCAGCCGCCGTGAAGAGCTGCAAAGACAGCAGTTAGCTATTGACAGACCGTGTCTCAGCTCAGCCACCTCCACCTACGTCACCGCCTCTGCCTGCGCCTCTGCTCTGTAGGGAAGAGAGTGCATCTGGGACACTGGCGTTGAGGAAGAAATAACATGTGCAAGCTCACCTCCCAACAGCTGCAGATTTCCTTCCCTCCACCTCCCCGTGCTCTAAGAGGATTTAGGCCAGTAAACTAGAAGAATGCACACGTGGACACTGAAAAGTTTCTATCAAATAAAAGCCCAGACGGCAAAGCAGGAGTGAGCCAACAGGGCTGGAGCGATGGCTCAGGGGTTAAGAGCACTTGTCGCCCTTACAGAGAACCCAGGTTTGGTTCCCAGGACCCACATGGTGGCTCAACCATCCACAAGCCCAGTGCCAAGGGATCAGAAGCTTTTTCGAACTCTGAGAGCACCAGACACGCATGTAACGTACATACATGCACACAGTCTAAACAATTATACAGGCAAAATACAAATAAATTTTTAAAAATGGAAGAGTGTGCCCATGCTGATGAGATGGCTCGGGCGGTACAGGTGCATGCCACCAAGCCTGATGACCTGAGTTCAATCCTCGGGACCCCCATGGCGGAAAGGAAGGACTGAGTCCCCTAAGTTGTACACTCCCACGCAGGTGTCCTAGCACAGACACAAACAAACACAACGGAAACACACCTACATAAATGTGTGTATGTTTTTTTTAAAGAGAGAAAGTGTACCCCTGACGATCCAGCTCGGGTATATCGGCTTGGGGATATCCCCCAAATCCCCGAGACAGTCCAGAGGCCGGCATTGAGAAGTATAAGGACACACTCAGGGGGCCTGCCGTTTCCCTGGGCTTGCTGGTTTTCATAGCCAAGAAATGGGGAAAGGAAAAGAACAAGAAAGGAGGGAAGAGGAGGAAGGAGGGGCGGCAGTGGAGAAAGGGAAGGCCAGGAGAAAGGAGGCAGCACCAGGAAGACCTCATCAAGCCTGGAAAAGACACAGCAGGTCCTTGCCGTGGGAGGGGCAGAAATGGATGCAGAGCCTTGGAACTAGGCGGGGCAAGTGAGGTCATTTCAAAAAGCTAGTCAACTCAGTGTGATGGTGAGTGCAGTGGAGATCAACTCTGGTGCTAAAGTTACACATTTAAAATGGGGAGGGGCTCCCATTCAGTAGGAAAGAGAACTGCTATTGATTAGCAATGTCTGCCAGGGGTGAGCATTGAGGAGTGGAGGTGAGCATGCTGTCTGTCCCCTGAGTTGCACCAGGAACGGAGCTCCTGTAAGACCCTGTGCAGTTTATGAACAAAGAGCTTTCCTGTCCCTGGGTGATGACATCTGTTTGCTTGGTTCAAGAATTGCTATTAAAACGACATTTCCATTAGTAGAGTCAATTTAGTTATCTTTACATGGGGAACAATGAAAACGTCTGGCCTTATAGGGTACCTCATCTGTCACATGGAAATGTCAATGGCTCGGAACACTTAGCCCTCTGAGTGTGTTGGAGGGGTTCAGCTCAGAGCAAAGGATTTAGAAATGCTGCAGAGGGGTGCCAGGGATGGTCAATCTAGCAGGTTTTGACAAAGGTCAGAAGTGTGGGTCAGCTGCTTCTGCAAGGAGGGGGGTAACATCCCCAGAGAGCTTAGAATGAGTACATGTGTTTAGAGTGGAGGGCCCCCCAGATGGCTCCCGTTCACCTAACTCACCAGCTTCTGAGCTAGAGAGACACCAAAGCTGGGAGTGCCTCAGTCTAGTCCTGAAGGAGTGTCCCTAAAGAGGTCTAATGAAAGGGGGCATCTCACCTGCTCGTCACGTCTGGTCCCACATCTCTGTGTGCCAACTATAAAAGTACCTAGAGCCAAAGAGATGACTCGGATGGTAAAGCAGACCTGAGGTTCTGAATTTAATCCCCAGGACCCATGTGAAAAAGCCACGTGTAGGCCTGAGCCATAGCTCAGGGACAGGGCCCTTGTTTAGCAGGTGTAAGGTGCTGAACTCAATTCCAACCACCCAAAACAAAACAACAACAACAATAACAACAACAAAAGCAGGCACAGTGGCACTTGGTTACAATCCTAGGCCCTAGGAGGCAGAGATGGACAGATCCCTAGGGCTCACTGGACAACCAGTCTAGCCAAGTTGACAAGTTTCAGGCCTATGAGAGACACCATCTCAAAAAACAAAACAAAAAAAATAAATAAATAAAAATAAAAACCCCAGGTTGGATGGCACCTGCAGCGAACTATAAAAACAGTCCAGGGCCGGGCGGTGGTGGCGCACGCCTTTAATCCCAGCACTCGGGAGGCAGAGCCAGGCGGATCTCTGTGAGTTCGA